ACCAAAGCTGAGAACTGGGTCCTTGAGTTCCCAAAAGGGTAGAAGGAAGCCGAGGGGGCTCTGAGATGCCAGAGAGGAGGCAGTTGGGTGCCTGGATTCCTTTGGTCTTTAAGTGGCAGCCCTGAGAATCTAGACTTCCCAGAAACTAAATTCAGGAAAGCCTTTATGAAAGAGAAGGCCTCAAGCCAGATCCCAGCATAGTGGCTCAAATTCATAAACTGCTCAGAAGACACGACCCTGGTGATGTAAGCTGCTGTAGACCCTCCTATTCACCAAGAAAGAGAACGGACAGCCAGTGTCACAAAGACACCAGAAAACGCAGATAAGACAAGAGCTTAGGCAGTGGGCATGCACCGGAGGGTAAGAGCTGATGTTGCAAGGTAAATGCTACAACTGAGATCTAGAGGATCTAGAACCGGTGCAAAGCCACCTGATAAACAGGTGTCTGGGCCATCCCGAGCTCCAAACACAGAGGAGAGCAAAAATGACACCAGAGGGTCATCCCTACCACAATCAAAAAAGAGATCTGGTCGGAAGACAGACTCTAGAACTCAGCCTGTTCAGCATGAAGGCATTGACTAGGCCTGGTGGCCCACAACTGATCCTAGTACTCAGGAGGCTGAGGCAGGAAGATTACAAGTTCAAAACCAACCTAATGAGATTCTGTTCTGAACACACACACACACACACACACACACACACACACACACAGCCAATGAGATAGCTCAAGAGGTAAGAGCACCTGCCACCAAGTCCAAGAACCTGAGTTTGATTCCCAAGGAGAGAACTCCTACAAGTTGTCCTCCGACTGTAGCATATATGTGCCCCACATGCATGTATGCATACACACACATATGCACACAATAAAAATGCAATAGTGCCAGTGAGATGGCCTATTAGCTTCAGCAGGTAAAGGCACTTGCTATGACCACCTGAATTCAATCCCTGGAACCCACATAGTAGAAGGAGAATCAACTCCCAAGACCTGTCCTCTGACCTCCACACTCTCACTGTGTTGTGAATGCCCCCCCATTCACACAGTAAATAAACAAATAAATGTCAGAAAATTAAATGTAATGAGAGGGAGATTCTCTAACCAGCAGAGGAGGAGGTGTTCTAGAAATGAGAACATTTTGAGGCTGAAGATACTAGAAGATAGTCTAGAACATACTTAGAATGCCAAAGTACCAGATGGCCAAGGAAGCCTACGATCCACCGATCCACCGGGGGAACAAAAGGGAAACAAGTCTGACACTAAGGCTGAGGCCACAGTGAGGAAGAGAAAAAACAACACTAGGAAGGAAGAGGAGCAGGACCTAGACCCAGATGCAGAAACATGTGATGTGCAGCATTGCTTTGGATCCTGCAGATTTAAGACAGTACACTCTAGAAGTCACATCACCAGGTGAAGGACCATTAGACCACTTCAATGAAAACAACATATTCTGCAAGTTAGAATGTCTCCAGGAACAGAAATAAATCTAGAACAATAGTAGACATGGCCAGAATGTAGAACACATCCAAAATGAAAATTTAGCAGAAATTGGTAAAGACTTGTTGGGGGAAAATGGTTGCAGCATTGGGGATCAGACCCAGGACTTGGTGTATGCCAGAAAAGTGCTCTACCTTTGAAGCTATGCCCCACCCCCCACCCAAGCTTTAGTTGCTAGAAACTTGGAGCATGTCTAAGACAATTTAAAACCATAAATTGGCTTAGGGACATTACCTAGATATTTGAAAAGACAAAAGTGAGTTCTAAGCTAGCCCGAGCGACAGAGCTTGTGAGGAAGGGGTAGGAAGCAAATAGGAAAAGACTTTCCTAGGGTTTAGCAGCTGGTCTAGAATGTAAATCACCCATCGGTGAAGATGGAAAAGATGCATCAGCTGGAAATGTTCTAGAACTTCCAAGGAAAGGACCAAGGATAGAAATACAGAAGGTGGCTGGTAGGTTCCTGTGAACTGTGACCACACATCACACCTGGAGGAAGGGATGGCTGTTCGGTGGGGAGTTTGGGACATCTCACTATGGGTCTCTGGAGGTAGTGTGGTGCTGGAAACATCTCAAGCCAACCAGCTTTTAGGGGGAGGGGGACTCTGGAAGCCTGGCACCTGAGTGGATATGCAAGTGAGGTCTCAGTTGAAGGCTATGGGAGATGTGAGGTTGTAGGCTCATGAGGCCATGAAGATGGAGCTGAGGATGGAAGTGTGCAGAGCAAAGGACCTGGATTTTGAATCCTTGTGGGGTGAAGTACAGGGTGTTAGAAGCTTAGAGGGAGGGTTGGGCAGGTAGCCTACAATAGGGCAGATGATGCAGTCTGAGCTCCTGGGTCCCTGAGTGTGTATGTGGTGGGGGGAGGGTTAGAGGGGGTAGGGACTGGGGACCAGCATCTAGGTGTCCAAGGAGGAAGGAAGACAGAAGCTGAGGAATTGCATTCTGGATATCTTTAAAGGAGTCATGGCGTCTGGGTCCTTAAGGGAGCAGGTGCTGGGGTACCAGAAGGCTAGGTATATTTGTCTGAGGTGTGCAGAGGCTGTTAAACTAGGTGCTAAGTGGAGGGGGACCTAGGAAAAGGTTGAGAAACTGGATTCCCCAGGTGCTGAGCAGGGTGATGATCAGTTGGGGCTAGCAGGTGCATGGGCACCAATAGCCTTACAGAACCCAGTGGGAGCCGGAGGCTGTGTGCCAACGTCCCTAAGGTGGCCAGGACAAGCACATTTAAAACCCGGACTCTCCAAAAAGCGGCTAGAGTCCGAGAAAGCTAGGGTGCCTGGGGTTGGGGCCTGAGAACACTGGCCAGCCAGGGGAACCGAGAGGCCCAGCTTGGGGAGGGCCCGGGGATCCCCGGGTCAACGGCGCGGCGGGGGTATCCCCGCGCCGCCTGCGCCCCCTCCCTGGAGGCGGTGGCAGGAGGTGGGGGAGGCGAGGCAACCGAGAGCGCTGACCATGGACAGCTCCGGCGCGGGCCTCTGTCCAGGGCCTGGACCGAGGACGCCACCGGCTGTTACAACCAGAAGCTGGGGACGCGAATGGGGGACCACTGCGGACGCCTTGGGGGCGAGTCCCATAGCAGTGCCCAGTGTCAGGAGCTCCTAGGACTGGGCCGAGGGTTCTAGGCTCAGAGGGATCCCCTGGGCTGAGCGATTTAGGCTCAGAGGGGTCCTCTGGGCTGAGCTGAGCCAGCCTGGGCCCTGGAGGAGGTGCAAGGAGGCAGTGCGCCTGGGATTCCAGGGTTCGGCTGGGGACTCTGAGCTCGGGGAAGGGACAAGCCTGGGTTCCCCGGGCTAGCCTGTGCCATGGGGACTCTGGGGTCCCCCAGGATGAAGATGGGCACGCAGGGTCTCCGGGAGGAAGGTTCGCCCCGGGGTCCCCACGGTGGGCGCTGCCGGGCAGGCTGGGCCGGCCTCTTACCTACCTGGTCCACGGCGGCTGCGAGAGGAGCTGCAGGAGGGACAGGCGGGGTGGGGTGGGGGCACCGGGCGGGGCCCCTGGAGGCGGCCCGGGCCCGGATCTGGAGCTTTGGAGCCCTGTCTCCGCCGCGCGCGCGGGCTCAGCGTCTCTCGCTCCGGCTCCGGCGCTAGGGACCCCCTCCCCCTCACGGGCTCAACAGCCTTCTTACCCCCTTAAAATAGCCCCCTGCCCCTGTCACCGTCCAGCCTCACCCCGTGAGGCCTCAGTCGCCAGATCCAGGGGTGCCCACCAGCGCCCCCCCCAAGAAATCCCACCTCCTCTCCCCCCCCAAAAAAATTCCTCCTCCCTCCCCCTCCCCCAACAGCTCCCCGGCGGTTGTGGCCCCTTTAACAGGAGACTGACAGACGGCGCCGCGTGGCCAATGGGAGTTGGCGTCCGTGCCGGCCGGCGACCAGGCCCCGCCCCCGCACAGGCGGGGAGGGGCAGCGCGGGTGGAGAGCGGGGGGGCGGGGCTCCATACGCATCGACCAATCGGCGTGCGGCGTGCGTTGGCTGGGGCGGGGGGCGGAGCCCCGCAGGGGATGATGTCACCCAAAGCGAGTAACTCGTCCCCAGGAGCGCGAGTCGCAACCCCGAGTCCTCGCGGTGGCGCGCGTTGCACGGGACGCGGGGGTGGGCGGGCGGTGGGACCCGGGTGCAAAGTGGGGTTTTTATTTCTTTTCTTTTCAAGGCCAGGGCGGCTCCCGGAAGGACGTGCCGGAGCCGGGAGGTGAGGCGAGTGGCCGATGGCTAGCGAAGGCTTAGTAGGCTGCACTCCTGCGCCCGCCTGGGGAACTGCACGCGCCGCGCCACCCCGGACTCCCACGCCGACGGTGGCGCGGCGCGCAGGGCTCCCCCGGCGGACCCCGCGCCATGGTTCGCTCCGCCCCGCCCACCGAGGCCGCGCTCTGGCTCCGACCGCGTTTCTGGAGGGTTGTCTGTCTCCAGCTCTACACCCCGGCACTCGGACGCCGCCCCGGGCCAGCCCTCTGCCCTCGGAGGCGTGTCTGGGGAGCCGGCCTGCCTTGGCCTTCAGACACCGGAAGCGTTGTGCATCACATAACCAAGCTGGAGAGAGTTTGGACTTAAGCTCAGCCCCACCCTCACCCCACGCCCGCAGACACTGCACCCCAGGATTCGCGACAGACACACGGACACTCAGTGAGGGTCAAAGGTTTTTAAATAACGAGACTGTGACAATAAATACTGTACAGGGAAGGGGGAGGAGCGTCCTGGTCTGTGATTTCAGCCTCGAGATTCCAAGGACCTGCAAGGTGATGAGAGGAGGGGGGAGTCTAAATTCAGGGGGGGCAGGACTGAGGTTCTAGAGGCAAGGATCCAGACCAGGTGCAAGGATTTCAGGGTTGGGGTAGGGAGCCAGAGGGTCCCAGAGGCCTTGGCCACCATGGCAGGCAGAGGTCGAGTGTCAGGATGCGCCAGGTGAAGAGCCAGGGCTGAGGAAGGCAGTAGGCCGCTTGCATCACTGGCCTAGTCTGGGAGTCTGAGGGTGGGGGTAGGCAGCATGGGGCGAGGGTGGTGCCGGGAGGCTCACGAGTAGCTATGATGCTGCTGGCGCCGGCGGGCAGAGCGCATCTTCTCAAAACGGGCTTCCATCTCCTCCAGCACCCGAGGGGTATAGCGCACCACCAGCTTCACGGAGCCCTGGGCCGCCTTCAGCAGCTCCACCGCCTTCTCGTGGTGCTCGCCCTCTACACTCTGTGGGGCAGGCCTCACACAGACCTCTGGCCCAGGCCACATTGCCCAAACCCACCCCACCGGGACATGGGACCAAGCCCTAGTGAGTCTGACGCTAGGCTGAGTCCTCTTCGTGGGTCACCGACTTTGGGCTCAGCATCCCCTGCTAGAACCTGCCATGTCAGGATAGCTCAGAGTCCCAAGTCAATGAACCAGGGTTGCTCGCTTCTTATCCCATCCCCCTCCGTCCAGGAGAGGTCTGTCTACTGTCTACACCTATTACTCTTCTTTACTCCAGTCATCCCTGCCTTCGCCAAACCACCTCCTCAGCAGTGGGTTCTAAACCACAGGAGCCTCAGAAAGCTGTGTGGCCCAGACTTCCATCACACCCAAAGTTTCTTCTTACCTCACACCCAAAGTTTCTTCTTACCTCAGGGGAGTGCAGAGTTACAGCCTTGCCCTGCTCTCAACCAGGACCACCCTGCCCCTCTTAGCCTGGAGAATTACTCATCCTTCAACACCCAATTCAAATGTTTCTCCTTTTGCAAAAACTTCCCTCTTCTACACTGGACTGGTTCTGATCTGGACTGTCTGGAGTCCTTAAGAGTTGGGACCATGGGCAGCTTCTCTCAAGGTCTGTAGCAGTGCCAGGGCTGGCCACAAAGGCTGTGCTCCCTTTTGTTGAAAAAATGTGACCAGCCCAGGCTACCCTACAGACCCTGTCCTTCTCCCCACTCACCACACCATTCACAGACAGCAGCTGGTCCCCACGCTTGAGGCCACCATGGCGATCAGCCACACCTCCAGGGATGACCCGAGAGATATAGATGGGTGAGTTCTGTTCCTTGCCGCCCATTATGTTGAAGCCCAAGCCCTCATCTGTCTTCGGCAGCTCCACGACCCTGGGATGTGCATGGCCCTCACTGGCTGTGAAGGCAGCAACTGTGGCCTGGGAAAGAGAAGGTGTCTGTAGGTGAGGTACCCTCTCTAGGGTAGGGGCACAGCAGATAGGGTGAAGGAACTGGGCCAGGGTAAGCCACAAAGTTCAAGCAAGGGAATCCTGCCACAGCTGAACAGGACACCCTGTGGTGACTGTGGGGCCCTTTAGTGCATTTGCACACTGTTTCTGATGTGCAAAGGTGTGTGTGTGTTGACTACTTTGCACCTGCCAATCTTGTTTTTACACAGATGGAAAGATGGAAACTAGGCGCGCGAGTGGGGGGGGTGGCGCAGTTGAGAGTCTGCAGACAACAACAGGAGCAGGCACTGCAGTTTGGATAGACGTCCGTGTTTCTCAACGTGGGTCATCTTCCAAGCAGCCATGTGAGGCCGGTTTCCAAGCGTGCTAACATGAGTGTCAACTCATGTGCGTTAAAGTTATTTAAAGGGCATTATAAGTAAGTCCTCCAAGGGTAATCTAGATGCAGCAAGCCTGGAGGGGCCAGGAAGACCTGGGGAGGACGCTGCGCAGACGCGCTTACCTTGGCGGTGGCGTGAGCCCGCACCTCTGCGCTGCCGGTGATGTCCAGCGTGTCATAGAGCTGCTCATACACCTGGGCGGGGACCGAACATCAGGAAGGTCTGCTGCCCCGGACGCAGGCGTGGGGGACCGCGGAGCCCGTGGAATCGACTCCCCTGCAGCCCGGCTCACCTCGCGGATGGCGGAGCAGAAGCGGCTCTGCAGGACCCGCTGCAGCGCCTGCAGTTTCTGCGGGGGCAGCTCCCCGCTGCGCTGCAGCCGCTCCAGGAGCTCCACCGCCCGAGACACGTCTGCGGGG